ACTGAGGCATCATCAAAGAGACCACAGGAGGAGAACTCTTGTTAGCTGTGTCCCTCCCTGAAAGTGGGAATATTCTTCATCTTGGTACCATGTACCAAAAGTGAGGTAGACTGAAGTTGGATTAACATCTGAGCTGTAGCTTTTACACTCACCTTAGTAGTTCTTGTCCTAGAGTCTTCTACTTAGACTCCGTGCTCCCTGTGGAATGAGGTCAAGTACTTATTTTTATTATAGTATTTAAATCATCCTGAGTTCCTGTGGGTGAATATTTACAGACAACTAATTTCTTTTCACCTCGGCTATCTTGACTCATCATCCATTTACTCTGTATGTTATTGCAGTGGCATATGACAGGGCTGGATGAAGCTGTGAAGCTGACAGGGAGATGCACCCTGGTGGAGCTACTCCTCTCTTACATTGCATCGATTGGGCACTACACTGAGCAGCTCTAATGTGGAGCACAGGTCCAGCCTCCTGCCTCTCTCTTCCTTCTCTCCTCCCCTCATCTCTTTGGACAAAGTGTCCTTGGACTGGGCAGGTGCCTGGTTTGCTCCTTTCCATTCTTGTCACCTGTGTACACTCTTCTAGCTATGCAGATTTTACAGCTGTGTTGGGGGCTTTTTCTGAGCTGATTTTTCTATGCATTACTTGTACTTTTTTTTCTTGTACATTGTATAAACATTTAGTACAGTATAATACAAAGGACAGTCAATGCAAAGTGAGAAAATGAAACACCTGAAAATTATGTAAAAGAAATCATGTCTACATAGTCCAACGCTTCTGCACATTTAAATCAGCACTAAAGCTTCAGCTCCCCTATGAGCAAACAGGTGAAGAAGCTCTTTCCGCTGACAAATCTGTGTCAGAGCTCTCTGCAGCATCCTCACCTGGTACTATTTTGATTTGCAACACAGCAATCTCTTTCTGTTATGCCTGACTCATTACAGCAAAACTAGGTTACTCTCATGCTTTCTGGCACTATTTTTCTTGTAATATGATCAACAGTGTGGTTGTGTGTCTATTTGTGAACACTTAATGCAGAGTTTTATTTTCCTTTTCCAACTAAGCTTGACCCAAATGAAATACAAGTATAAATATCAAACCCACAAGTAAGCTTTGAGAAGCCACAAGGTTCTCCTGCTGTTTATACATGTGTGAATTACAGTACATCAAGAAATCAATATTCCCTAGATGGTGCTTGTGCCTGGCACTTCATGGTGAACAAACATTAGGTAAGACAATATAAATGGTACAATCCTTATTGATTTCTCTTGACTGTGTAGAATGTGAAAGCTGCAGCCACAGTTAACACTTACTGACAGACTCATCTAAAGTTTCAGTGCTATTTTATATTTTTATAGTTGTCCACGCTCAATTGATTCTATTAAGTTGCTAGACACATTTCAAGCCATCTAGATAAGAAAAAAAAGTGCAGTGCCTGGAATGAGATGCTGCTACTTTGTGCCTAGCAGGATAAAAAGGCTAAAGGACGAGATTGTGCCCGGATGCTGGAAGGAGTTCTCTTTTAATTGATAGAATTGTTATTGTTTTTAGTGAATGGATACCGTGAGTGATGGATAGGTGCATTTAACTAAGTTAATAAATGAGTGAACAGTAGATACCAGAAACATCAATGAGGAAACTGTACTGGAAGCTCTCAATGTTATAGCCCCTCCACAAACAAACAAGCAAAACCCCCTCATAGTTCCACTCAATTGATAAAATTCTGTCACTCAGGAAAAAAAAGTAAGATGGGCTTCAAAATCTTAAGTTTGGGATTTTTTCCACATTTTTTCCTCTTTTGACTCATGATACACATTTAAAATTGCTTTTTAAGAACAATTTGTACATTGTTTTTTGTTCTTTCCAAAAAAGTGAGCTTCTCACACAAGTCAGGGAAATTAGGGGGTAGGACAGTATAAGGAATCCTGAATATTGGGATATGAGTTTTAGTGCCCTAAAAAATAATTTTCTATTTCCCTTTTATACCCAAAGAGCTCTTTTAGCAAGATATCAGAATATCTGTTTCATAGTTTCTTACTCCCCTGCTGGGAAAATTTAAATAATGTGACTGAATTGGTGTGAAAAAGGTGTCAGACATCCATTCCATGAATACTAAATGCAGACTGGGCTCTGGGATATTTAATGTCTTGAGAAAACCAATTTTATATCTTTTTGGGTTGTGTGGTACCCAACAAGATGGAAATTCAGAAATTAAAAATGGCATAAAAATGAAGACACGTGAAGACATGTATCATATTAAAACCATATAAAATCCATTCATTGTGTTATGGTTTTCTCTAGAGAAAACACTATCAGCTACAGTCTAAAACAGCTTACAAAGTGATGAATATTCTGATCCTGAAGCAGCAATCTCTGAAGCAGATGCTTTGCTTTAAGTGTATTGTGGTCCTAATGATTTCAACAGTACTGAGCTTTGCTGGATTCACAGCAGCATAATCAGCATGCTCCAAGAGCAGGCACTCTTTTTCTTAGCATAATCCAGAAAAAGAAATCAAAGAAAACTTCTATACTATATGAAATCAGATGGAGGTTACATTTTTCTCATTTCAAATGAACTGTTGTTCCTTTGCAGATATTGCTATCTCAAAAAATGAGGTGATCCTACTTGAAAACATCAGGAAAAATTTAGTGAACTTTGAAAATACTTTGAATAGTAAATTTGCAAGATGTTACTTCAATCTTGCAGAAGAGTTTCCTATATTTGAGCATGTTAATATAATTCACTTTTTCAATCCACATTTGGTGACACTGCCTACAGTTTTCTTTAAAATTCTTTTACCAAAAGGCACAACAAACTGTTTCATAATTACAAGAATGCTATTAGATCATGAGAAAACTGCAGAGTGGTTCTCATATCAGGAACTTTCTATTTTCCCTATAAAATATGAGACATAATTAAAGGTGAGTTAAGACTTTGGTGAAAATCTAAAGAGCATCGGCAAATCTGAGCACTGCTCAGCTTTTCAATTGCTTTTCTACTTCTCAGTTCTTTTAAATGGTTTTCTATGGCAGGAACATTTTTCTTAATTAGTCACAGCTAATTACTGTTCTGGCATAGACAAGTAATCAGAAATGTCAGAGCTGCAAGGCTACATCTCCCTAATCCTTTGATAATAATTTAGCCTCCTGGGAGGGCCTCAAGCTGCGGTAAGTAGTGGCTGACAATAAGGCAAAATTAGGTGGGCAGCAGACCATTAGGACAGAAAAATAAAAAGCACTACCAAATCCTGCTGAGCACCATCAGGCAACTAACTACACTGCCAGATGAGGTGCCTGTTTAAGCCTGTGTTGTTAATTAGCTGATTCTACCAGACCTGCCACATATGTCCAGGTGCATCATGCAAAGATGTGTATTTCTGGGTTTGTGCCAAAGGACAATTTTGCACTGTGATCAAATTTCAAGAATCTGAGAAAGAAGCCCACATATTTCTTGAAGATTATTCTGAGTTATCAAAGAAATAAGAAGATCAACAAGCTACAATCCATTTTTGTTGAGTCTTTTTTTAAGTAATTAGGCACGGTCCTCTCATGTTTCTCAGAGGTTAATACAAACACAGCTTTTGATTCAAATGTGGCCTTTAACCAAATAGACCTTTTGTCAAATCACACACTTGCAAATAATTACATAACAACAAAAGTGAAGATTACTTATTAAAATTACCATGACAGGAAGTAATTTGAGAATAAGGAAGAAAAAATCACAATTAAGGTTTTCTAGAAAAACATTGCTGAATACTAAATACTACAGCAATGGTGCTTTTGAGGTAGGCATGAATGGCACAAGGAGTTGTTACTACAGAAAACTCACATTTAAATTAAGTGTTCCTCTTAGCTGTGTAACAGCAGCTGAAGATTAAATCACTTGCCAGGGAGAAGCATTTGCACATTTTTAAACATATTTTGTTTTGTAAAAGGTCAGAAAACCTATAGAAATTATGCAATTGAATAAAGCATTTACTAAATATGTACTTGCAGATATGACAACAAACAGAAATTAATCAGATGAGTACTTCAGATCTCCACTTATCCACAGAGCAAAGTACATGACATAATAATCTTTGGAGAATAATGAAGACCTCAAATAAGATCAAGTACATAATTGAACTTAAATCGCCCATCCCTGCTACTAATGGAAAAGAAAATAATGGTTTTGATATGGGAAAACCACTAGCACCTTATTAACATTCCAGACAAAATACAAGCAGTTTTACAACAGAAAAAGAATATTGCATTACATCTGAACTTTTGAAATACAAAAGCCAAAAACAGCTATGTAAAATCTGGAGTGCTTAATTATTTATATTGCTCATAAAGACATTCAGTCCTTCTGCACTCCAAAGAAAGTCGTATGAGTTCCCTGCCATTTACGTCTCTTACAGTGCTTGTTGAATTGTTACCATGCATGAGGCCAAAGCCCCCAGGACATTCTCCTGCATGAGCAGTCCCTGTGAAGTCAACAGGAATACTCTGTCACACCACACTAGTTTAGTACCCAGAAGAGATAGGCAATCAGGAACAATACTTGCTCACAGGTAGCATCTTGTACAAGATAACTAAGGGACCTGCTTGCTAATGCTGACCTTTCCAGGATGTACCCTCTGAATATTTTATGTGTTTATGGTACACCTGGGAGAAGGTTTCCCAGAAATTAAAGCCTAAAAAATTGGAAAACCTTTCAGTTATATCAATGACTAAACACTGATGCAATAAAGCTGTTCTTTTAAACCATTCTTTATTTCTCAGAGCAGCAATCAGTTATTGCATAAAGGTTTCATTGCATTTATAGTCTTAATAAAACTGGAATCATACATCTGTTAACACTATAAGTTTTCCACAACAGGCACAACACAAATATAAACTATAAGATAATGCTCCTAATGGCAAATACACCAAGAAGGAATTTGAAGCAAAAATGTCTGAAATTATTTTTTCCTGTGTTCCAACAAGAATATTCATACTTCACGTGCAATTCACAGGTACAAGAAAGTGAGAATCTAACCAAGTGGCACTTAGGAACTGCACATCATTACAGAAAGTAAGTATTGCATCAATGTTTTAAACAGAGCTTTATGCAAAATGAAAAAATGCTTTTTCAAGTGGTTTGTTAACAAAATCCAATTTAATTTTAAAGGAAATAGTTTTTAATTTAGAAGTCTAATGTAAATTTGCTCAGGAGTTCAAGATTTATTGGTCTAATTTTAAAAAATCTGGTAGAAACATTAATCTAAGTTTAGTCAGTGAGGATAACCCAGCATGTTTATGGACACAGCACCACATTTATTAAGGTTAATGGTACAACTCCAATTGATTTTGAGAGGGTACAACCAGACCCCACGGGAATTTCATAGTCACATATTTTTTGAATCTGTTAATTTTGTGATCAGATACACAAAAGCACTGTTCTTTGATAGGCTGTACAGATGCTCTTACATCATCCATCAAAGAGATTATAAATGAGGCCTTAATAATAATTAGTAATATTTTCTATTTATTCTAGGTTTGTGTAATTCTATTCTAAATACTTAATTTTGCCATTCACCAGCTTCTACTTTTACAGCCTGTTCTGAAAATAAGTATTTTTCAAACTGTTAAAAAAAAGATTAAGTACAATTTTGTTTCTAAAGCATTAACCCAGAGCTACTGCAGAGCATCCTCATGTGCAACACATTACAAAACATTAGTGCTCTTTAAGAAATGTAATCCTAAAAACAAAGAAACACCTCCCCTCCACCCCCTCAACTAGAAACTGTTACTGCATGAGAGTAGGAAATAAATGACCTGAGCCTCTGTAACAGGAGGAATTTGACAGGAAAAATTCCCAGCTCATTTTAGGAAGAAGACCATGCTCCAGACTGCAAATGAAGACAAAAATTCCTAAGTGTCTGTGACAAACTGACCAAGTGAAAAATCTTTGTGACTTCAAACCTGTTGACTAGTTATGAGAACAAGAACATGTTCATCTGGGAGAGACCAGTGCTACCAGGAGCAGCCAGACATATTGCTCTGCCTGCTGTCTATAGCTCTTCTAGAGGAGGTAATAATAAAATGCACACAGAAGTTGAGTTTGTCAGAGGAAAGAAAGGAAAAAAAACCCACCACCTTGCTTCCACTGCATGATCAGCAGGTGTACTGAAGCACAGGATTTAAATGGTTTAAAGATGGTGCATAAAAAACTATCAGCCCAGTCTTCTTTCAAAGTCCGCTGGAGATTTGAACCTCTCTCATACGTAAGGATTCATTTCACAAACTTAAATTCCTTTCTCCTGATTTTTTTATTTTGTATAGCATGGCAGTGCTTTTCTAGGCTTATCAAGCACCACCATAAAACACCATGTATTTTCTGTCTTCTCCCTAGTTTGAGGCTTCTCAGGTAGATAAACAACTTTACAACTCCAAACCTTAACATATTGTGACCCACTGGCAGACATTTGTACTTGTATCAATACTATTCTTATATTTAAATGATCTTTGTTATGTACATAACTTTGTATGGTTTGCTTGGTCACTGTAATAGCTGTTAGCATATAGCAGCCCTAATCAAATCAATGAAATCTGTGCATAAATAGTTTGCAATTATACATTTTTTTGAGTTTAAAATAGTATCCAAGGCCTGATCTCATCTGTATTTATAACTAACACCTCTAGCGCATAAAACAGTCAGGTTTTTGTTTTTCTGGATGAGGTGTTTCCCTGGATGAAGCACAGGAACAGGCACTTGTGCTCTTACACTTGGCTGATGATTACTTAGCTGATATTAATACAAGGTGTTTTAAGGGGAAAGTAACTGTAGCCAGTCGAATGGCTTGAGGTATATTTACATAAAAATGTGAATATATCTTATTATTTTGATTGAAATATAACTAGATGGATTTGAATTTATAAGTAGTAGGTTTTGTTATATCACTAATTTAAAAAAACCCTATTAAAAATCATGGACAAAATCTTGCTTAGTTATAATGTCCTAAATCTAAATTAATCCCAGGAAAGGTGAATTACAGAGTGAGATGACTATTTTAAATTTCTGCATGCTATGAGCTTCCATATTTGTTAATGCTTTTATCTGCATCTGTCCAATCACTTATATCTCCCAGTGTGATGTTATACAGCAATGTAATACCACCCTATGTTAAGAAAAATAAAGATAAAAATAGATCTTTGATACACAAAATACATATCATACATCCTTTGCTAACCCAAAATCATGCCAGGAACTGTGCTGATGACTTATTGGTGTGGATGATCCCTTGCTAGCTCTCAGGCCTGTGCCTGGTCCCTGGCCAGTGCACTGCTGTGGACATAGCCTGAGACCTGGTCCCATCCCACTACCTCAAAAAAGTCAATGTGGTCTCTCCAGTGAGAGTTAGACTTGGCCTTAGTCAGGTAATTTTATTAACATTCAGAAAATGACAACATAAGCAGAAATAACCCCAAAGAAAAACAAAAAAATAGAAACTTGAAAATGAAACATATGCTTGCAGATTCAGTGCAAAAGCAAACTGAAGCAGAAGTTGCTAATACGGTTTTAGTACTTTGTGAAGGTGCCAGCTGGATGGATGATAATTTTTCTACCCCTGCAGGGCATCAAAGCTTTTATAAAATCATTCTTTTCACACATATTAGCACTTAGCTTATTAAAACAGATGATACTTTTTTTTTTTTTTTTTTGTAAAGCTACATGGGAGTGTCTGGAAATATAAAATCTGAGAGATAAGTCTTATTTTGACCACCCAGTCTAACAAACAACAAACACTGACATGACATATCATGGCTGAGAGTCTATGTTATGGGACCTTCTGTGACTGCCACAACTGTAGTGTCACAGTAAAGGCTGTGAATTGCTGTTATGAAAACATTTGCTGTAACTTGCATAATTAAATGAAACTGCCAGCAAAGCTTTCTAAAATACTTAAGAGATGACACAAATAAATACATTTCAAAGTCTGTATTATGTTCCAGAATTAGTTTTGTAATAAATTCCATTTCACAGTGCCAGAGATGACTTCTTTCCTTGTTCAAATTCCTACCTAATTGTAAGTGGCTGAGATAATTGTTGCATAAGTTTTTCCAACTTTATAGTAAAATAAATTTTATTTTACAAATATTTTTACATGTGAAGTGCTTTAAATTTATACAGAAGATACAGTTTCCGCTGCCTATAGCTACTTCTTCAGACAACTCAGAAAGGGACATAGTAAACATAAATTAGTGGTCAGAACTTGACTGAACTGAAATGTGATCATTTCTAACAAAAAGATGAGGGATTAAGGCAAAGGAATGAGTGGAGGGAGGCTGCAGAAGTTACTATCAACCTGAGGAAATTACTATGTGCTCCTTGAGAATGAGGATTACTCTGAACTTGCAGAAGTCAAATTAGAATTTTGAAAACGAGTTTGACAATTCAATAAATGTTTGGTCAACTTTAAGAAATTAGAAGTCTTAAACTAAAAATCCATAAAACAAAATGCTAAAAGTCATACCACAAAAGTACCAGTCAAACCCATGGATGTACCTGGCATAACTGGCCTCTTTCTGTATACAAGCAGAAAGTGATATGTGCAAGTTCTTAATTTAGCGAAATTAGGTCTGCAACAGAATTCACAACCCACACCAATCCGATTCTCTTAATTAACAAATTCAAAATCAAAAGGTGGAATATAATTGGACTACTCACAGTGGAAAAATGACTATTTCAAATAATAATCTAACAATTTTACTTCTGCCTCCTAGCATTTAAAAGTTTCATGCAGAAAATATTTAAAGAAAGGCCACCCATGACAGCTGAAGCTTGTAAATAAAAAGCAAGAGAAAAAATTATCAACAGGGGAGAATATCTAAACTTGTTGGATATTATCAAAGTGCAGTTTATCCCTTATGATATAGCAGTGATACCAGAAATCTTTGAAAGGGTAGTTACTCACATCGAATAACTTCTCTATGTACATTTCCTCATTGACCTTTTCTCGAAGTATATCTTGGTTTTGTCGAACAAACATAATGTAGGTGTCTGCTAGATCCATCCCTGGTTTCTGTGGAGACATAAAGTGAAGGGAGAAAGTAGTGGGAAGGGGAAGATAGACCCCTCAACAACTGAGACTTACAAGAAGTTATACTTAAACATAATGAAAACTGAGATATTTTATAATGTTCACACATGTACAGACTATATTTACAAAATCTGCTGTGAATTCTGGGTTAATTAACAAGTTCAGGAGAGTTCACAATTAATAAAGTTCTCCGTGCTTTAACTTATGGATGCTTTGAGTCATAAATCTACATTGCCATATGCAATGGAATGAAGTCTTGGCTCTCTGGTAACATCAACGGCGAACCTGGACATTTTGCCCTTTTTTGTTAGTGAGGTTTTCATAGGTACTCCACCTGAGTATGGAGGTCCAAATCCTGTTATCACATTCAGAAAATGGTTAAAAGAGAAAGGAGTCAGTTCCTTTTTCATTGTCTCAGATTTCTTGCAATTTGCTTCCAAAGTACAGCTGAAGTTTGTTTCTGAGGTTAGCTTCAACTAACTGTAATTTAAACTAAGTTCAAGCACTTCTGACAGCATTGGCATGAAAAGGTTGACTATTTTTGGAAACTGTTGCACTGGCACAATCAGCTCAGAGGATGGCTAAGGAAGGAGCAAGGACTGAAATGTTTCCCTTCTCATACCACTGTATGTTCTGTATGAACAGCAGACTAGGCATAATTTTCATACCACAATCCCAAACATGAGACAGGCCAGGATATGTTGTGTGCATGTGATACTACCTCTGGACAGCCACAACAATGGCTGAAACTGCTCTCTCCTGCCCAGCTGTGACTTCTGGATCTCTGAAGCCACAAAAAGTTGTTCCACACTAACACTCCTAACAGCCTGCAACATCCCCTTTGCTGGCAGCATATGCAGTGATGGTAAGGAGTTCACCTTTTTCTAACAGAAACCAAGATTGCACACAGGCACTTTGGAAGGTCTTCTGCAAATGCCTTCTATGTGAGTAAGTTTGTAAAAGTATCACTTGCTCCCAAATAATAGCTTAT